TACGTAGCTGAGCGACAGTTGATGGTTACTGCTAAATATCTTCTGTTCTGCTATCTAGGAACATTGCTTGATGGGCAACCCATAATTAACCTACCTCCAAAGAAAGTTAATTTGAGCAAGGTGGACTTTTCAGTGGAGGAGCGGTCCTTCTACAGGAAACTTGAAGCAGATTCACGATCACAGTTCAAGGTTCTCCTTTTTGTCCTCCACAGATTATCAGCTCAATACTTGGAAATCATGTTTCTGAGTTCTCCTTTCTTGGAAAATCAGTGTTTTCCTGCTAAGTCTTTTTCCTCAACATAAACTCGTAGTTGTTCCTGATAAGATGATGTTTCATTTTCCCTGCAGGCCTATGCTGCTGCAGGAACTTTGAGCCAAAACTATGCAAATATTCTTTTGATGCTTTTGCGACTACGCCAAGCTTGTGACCACCCACAGCTAGTTAAAGGATATAACTCAGATCCTGTTGGAAAAGAATCAGAAGAAGCTGTCAAAAGACTTCCTAGGGAGGCTCGAATCAACCTGCTCAATCGTTTAGAGTCATCCTCTGCCATCTGCTGTGTCTGTGATGTAAGTGCAGAGTAATCTAGAGCTAGGAATAGCATGTACTCACTATTCTCTAGTTCTTAGGCTAGGTTTGACAAGATTTATTCTTAGTTTTCTGTTACATGTTTATCTGCAGGATCCACCAGAAAACCCTGTTGTTACATTGTGTGGCCATGTATTTTGCTATCAGTGTGTTTCAGAGTATGTAGCTGGGGATGAGAACACGTGCCCTGTACGGAGATGCAGAGAACAGCTTGGGCGTGATGTTGTTTTCTCTGAATCTGCCCTTAGAAATTGTATCACCGATGATTTAGGCTGCAGCTCTTCACAGGATATTGATCTCGATAAATCAGTTATTCTAAAAAACGAGTTTAGTTCAGCAAAAATCAAAGCTGTCCTTGATATCCTGCAGTCGCTATCCAAACAAGGCAGTCCAAACTCAGCACAGCATGGTCAAATGTCTTCTTCCTCACAGCCATATGACGATGATGATGTTACCATAGTAGAGCCACTGA